TAAGGAGTCATTCCGTTGAGAAATGAGCCTTACAAAATTCAAATGTAATGCCCTGCTTTTTCTGTTGAGAAATGAACGCTACTCTACACACATAATATGATAAATTTACGCAACAGTGAATGAAAACATAAGATTCAATCATCCCCTATATGGAATTACAAGTTATGAGCCTTATAAAATTATTCACATTATGTCACTATAATATAATTAAACGGATTTTACAAGACGAACTCTTACTGTTATTAAAGGTTATTCAAAATCTTCTTTCGAGCTTAAACTTACTTTTGATCTGGATTAATCAACATTGGGGGTGTGAATTAGGGTGAGTTTCACGGACTCAGTAAGAAAAAGGAGCAGTGTCCACAACAAAAACATGCACATATTCAATCACCAAATCTTCTAAATCAGTTTATTTAGTAAACATTTAGAATTTTTTATTTCAATATTATAACTAAGGGTATCAACAATTTTATAAATAATACAATTCAGTATTCAGTATCACAATTTAAGCAGTAAGCAATTTAGTAAATATTAGTTCAGTATTTTAACATCGCCGTTATATTCATTTCTATCAGTTTATATCTTATTAAAAATAGTTTTACCGTGCGATGCAGTTTCTGCCGGTATCAACGAGAGCAGTAAGAATCCCCTCTACCACGTAAATACGTTACAATTTAGTCTACAGTTTACAGTTTGTAGTACACAGTATTCAGTTCTCAGTTCTTATCGGTTCACCATGTCTGACTAAAGTCGTATCCACGGTTAGGGTTCACCACAGTTATATGCCAAAAGATTACACACACACCCACCTCTCGGTGATATCGGTTGAACGAATTTTTTCATCTTTTAAAGATTCTTATATTATTCTTTTACTGATCAGGTTCGCCACTAGATGACTTACTCAGATATGCACCTACTTATATATTATATATATATTTTACATCAACAAGCCTACACAATAAGCACAATATATACCTTTTATATGCATAGTTATCGACTCAATTAAGTATATATAAATATGCAACACATACAATGTGAATATACTTGTATATTTACACAAGGCATATATGTATTCTATAAGCAGACACATACAGGTTGTTCACTCATACATACACATGTTGCACAACCTACAATTATACATATATATGTGTCACACACACCTATGACTCGATAACTAGCATGCATAAAATCTACATATATATGCAAGTAACAATATGAATACATAATTATATGTCATGCACAACATCATATAGGTTTCGAATCATATGCAATTGCACACACGCGAATATGATGAGTTCGCAGAACTCGTGGTGGAAAACATGAATAGTTTGTAAATTCTGTAAACAAATCATTTCAACGGAAAACTAGATTTCATAAAAATATGGGGGCTTCTGAATGAGACTAACCCAATCCCTTACCTATAGTCTAATTGAAAAGTATCGAAATCCTTGTCGATTCGGGTCTACGCTCTCCTTTAAATCCAGTATTATTCAGATAATTTTCTTGTTTACAAACAGAAAACATGTGGGTTAATGACAGACACTTGTAAAAATAATTAGAATATAAAAAGAGGATCGAGTTTTACCGTAGCGTGATCCTAATCACCGGAACCACCACACGTCACCATACGCGTGTCCTTGGTTCACCATGTGCCGCTGCCGGAGTGGCACAACCACTACATGCATCGTCGCTAGAACCAGCACGCTCCACTAGAACCACCCACGCGCCACTATGTTTCGGCTGGAACCCATCACAGAATGAGCTGCACATGCAAATCTGGCACGTACATGGTGAAATCGCACCGGAAAGAGCCAGGAACATGCGGAATTGCGCGACCAACCATTGCAGATCTCCTTCTTCTCCGGTTGCAAGACGTTGCGGCTCTCCTTCTTTCTTGGTCGCACACTAGGTTCCTTCGTCCTTTTGGATTCACGCAGCCGTCGGCTACACGGATCCGGTCATCGCATGCACCAAACACACCTTATCTCTCTCTCTCTCTTTCTTCTCCTTTTTTTTTCTCCTTCTCTTTCTCTCTCTCCTTCTCTCTTTCTCTCTCTCTCTATCTCTTAAGTTGTTTTTTCTCTTTCCGTGATCCACTCTCTCCCTCCTTTCTGATTTCTCATTTTTTTTCTTTAATAGACGGAAGGATGGAGAGCCCTGTACGCCTCTTCTTCGGTGTGCAAGTTTCCACCTCCTCCGCGTCTTCTTCGACAGCCAGAGGTGTATATGCCTCTGGTAGCCCCAATTTTTTTTTTCTTTTTTCTGTCACCAAAACGACGTCATTTTGATGCTCTCAAAACGACATCGTTTCACCTGTGTCTATTTTTCCTTCCTTAATATCAAAACGTCGTCGTTTTGGCTTTTTCTGCTTCTAAGAAGCAGATGGATTGGGTTTGTTTTTTATGGTCTCAAAACGGCATCGTTTCACCTGTTTCTATTTTTCCTTCCTTAATATCAAAACGTCGTCGTTTTGACATTTTCTGTTTCTAAGAAGCAGATGGATTGGGTTTGTTCCTCTCGGGTCGGGTTATTACATTAGGTATTGTTATCAGGATGATCATAATGCTAAGTATTTTTTGGTGAACTCTAGTATAATAAGATTTATAAGTTAGTATATCTGAAATTAATTCATGAGGTTGATGATAAAATGTATAAGCTTCTCCAATGGAGATCATGCATTAAAGACATTTCTAAACAAGAGAGTAGGGATTTAATGTTACGTATAGTTTTCAAAAAAATGTTTACTTATAAATCTGATCACTAATAGCTTTAGAGGGATTTGATGTTACACATAGTTTTCTATTATATCTTATTATTCAAAATAATTTCACACTCCAAGTACTATTAATAATATAAGTAGTATCTATTATTATAATAGTTTTTCTTTTGATAAACTCTAACAAATAACTCAATAGAGAAAAATCAAGATTAAGTTAATATTATGTACTTTATTTTCTGAAGCTCTTGTTAATTAATTTCTTTTTCCTTTGAGAAAATTTTATTGACTTTAAATAATAGAGTATTCTTAAAAATAATCTAAAAATCATCGTTTATTTTGATTGTTCAAGTTACATTGACAACTTAAGGATGTTTGAAAAATATTATCTTGGTTTCTATTGATTTCAAATTCATTAAAATTATTAAAATAAGAATACACTTTATGAACCCCATTTAAACTTACAAGCACTATAGAAACTTGTAATAGACTTAAACAAATTCAAACTAGCTAAACAGTCTTTGAAGACTAAGTGTTCATTGGTAGTAGAATGATCAATTTTGTATAATAACTTGGTTCGTCTCTAACCTAGACAACGGATTCACCTCGAAAATAAGCAGCTCATCCTCATGGCAGTAATTTAGAAAACAAAACCAAAGACTTGTTCCTTTCTCTATTGATTCAGTTTAACCTTAACTTGTCCCAGATCATAAAAATTCTTCATGCACAAAAGTGTATGGTAAATGGTAAATGGCAAATGGCAAATGACAAAATGGCTTATCCCTCATGTG